CAAACACACAGTGAGAGACCAGATTCTCGGCAGGCACCTACTGAAAGCGGTGGAGCTACATCAGTTTACTCCAGCTACGGATTTGGCTCACGGAGTTAATCACTCGTACCCAAAGGACAATATAAATCCTAAAAATAAATCATTACTAATAATGTGTCATCCGGCTTCTCTATTATATCTCTCTCCAAAAATGTCATCTTTTCCTGAATACAATGAAGAGCTTTCATAAGCAGCAGCACTCTTTAATAGCGCACCTGGCAGAGGGACGAGCACGCTGTATAATTATTGCAAACAAATGCCTCTCTCTCACCTTCCCTCTCTTTGGAAGCACATGCAACATGTTCTAAAGGTCCCCAAAGTTAAGCTCTTCACAGTAATAAATGTTTTCTTGTCTTTTGCTGTTGTTGTTGTACAGAAAGAGGACTCACTTTTCAGAACAGCACGTGACACGAGTTGGGTCTAGCTTGCAGTCAGCCGGTTAGCAGAAAACACACATTATGTAGCTGCCAGAACCGAAAACTTGTATTTAATTTGTCAAAGCTTTCAACTTCTCCACTGAGACATAACTCTTTTTAACGGCCAAATGTCTCTGATACTTCATCTGGCAAAGAAATCCAGGTGTTTTTTCTTCCACCCCCTCCCCAAACGCAGATAAAAGCTCTCCTCTCTCTTCCCTCCTGCCACCTACACGAGGTGAGTCTGACTCCGCAATGCAGACAGCAAACACAGGCACCTTCTCCTACTCCTGGTGCTGCTGTTTTCTCCATGTCATCCTCCCCCGCGCCAGTCGGAGGGGAGGAAGCGGCAGGGGGAAGGAAGGAGGAATGGCACATGGAAACAGGACAACCTGGCACCTGGGAAAGGGTGAGATCAAGATCACTCCACTTGCCTGGTGGAGGAGGGAACGAGCCAGGGGAGGAGGGCTTGGCAGAGATGGGGTGGTCGGGCGAGGACAGGGTGACTGCACTACCACGCTATAGGGCATCCAGAGAAAGGAAGTGGGCTGGGGGCCAGGATGTTGGGGGGCAGATGGGGAGAGGAGAAGGGTCCTGCACACAGCTTGGTCTCCAGAAGAGGGGGAGCGGGTGGGTGGGTATGTGAGAGGTGGCAGCAGAGGCAGGGTGTGAAGGCACTTCAGAGGCTCATGCACAGCAGCCAGAGTGGAAAAGGCAAAAACTAGTCTGCCTTTCTCTCCCTATACCCGTGCCAGGTTTAGCTCCAGCTGTAGGACTTTTTCTTGTGTGGTGCTAGCATGAAAATTTCAGTATAACTAATGTTTTTCATCTAACATACAACTGATCCCCCAAGACAGTGCAGTCTGAGCACTGGTATATGAGAAAGTCACTATGAGGTTCAACGGAAGGGCTCGGGGTTGCAGACACTTCGCCCCGCTCCAGGGCACACTCGCAGCCTTTACCTTGCAAATCATTTCCAGCACATCTCGTGTGGTGTCCCCGGGACGTATGACTGTCAGAGCAGGCTGGTTGTTTGGCAGGCAGAACCAAGACGGCGTAAAATACTCATGAACCCAAATATCACAGTCGGGATTGTGCTGATGGACACTGCTCAGTGCCACTTCTTTCTCCCTCTAAAGAGACAAAATCCATTATGAATCTACCAGCCAAATACGATCACCCTCTTCATCAATAACAAGTGTAAGGAACATTAAATCTGTATCAAAAATCCCTCTTACTGTGAAGTTGTTTTATTCACAAGCCTAGATTGAAGGCTTGTCTGAACAGGAAACTTTGCAGTTTTACCTGAGCAGTATAAAGTGTGCCTTCCCAAGCCACCCACACAGCTACACTGGTGCAATGTGCTTTTCCTGGGATTTCACCTATAGCTATCGGGAATGCTAGGAATGCAACAAAAAACAACAGTGATATAAAGAGATTAAAATAAAACTTAAATGCACTGTGTTTCCTGGTAAACCAGTACAAGGCCAACACAACTGTTGTAGGTGCTACAGTACTTGTACCTAAAAATGGCAAAATAACAAATCTTGGCATTTATTTTGAATTTACTGTCTTTTATACATCCAAGTTGCACTCCAAGCTATAAATCCCCAGGAAGCGATGGAGCTGCAGAATTCCTATTTGCTGCAAGTGGGCTCGCGCAGCTAAACTCATATTCACTACATGCAGAATGTGCCTCTCAGCACGTTCTCAATGCTGTTTTATAGCTCACCTTCTCTGGGGAAAGAGAAAGCAGTTGTAATTGTGGCTGCAAAAGAAGAAGCTCACAGAAGCGCATGAGAACAAAACAGAGAAAGCCCTGCGCTTCATAGTTGCTCCAGCCTTAAATTATGAAAACCCCATATGGCCACCACAAGGAGTCATTTTCCAGAACCAGTGGCACCCAGGCTCTCCTGTGGGCAGGCGTTTCCCTGACGTGCAGTGCTAACACCCCTCCAGGTCTGGCACCTCCAGCTGTGCTTGGGATCCACAGGCAACAAGCCCTCTTGTTAGTGGGCAACCAGCTCAAACCCTCCCAGAGCAGCTACCAGCCCTACAGCGTGCAGGGGGTCCTCTTCTCTCCCACGGGTTCCACATCCCCTCTCATGTCCCAGAGTCTATGCTGCATTTAGGCTGGCTGCAAACAGGGGAGGAAGGAGGGAGCTGGAGAGCTGATGTTTTACCTTGCCATCTGGGACCGTATCGTCAAAGATTCCTTCGAGAGATTTCTTTACTGAATCAACTCCTTCACCAAACACCTGAGGAACAATAGAGCAACTCTGCTTTAGAACAATAGAACAACTCTGCTTTAGAACATGAATGCGCCTCTGTGCCGTCTGCAGCACACGCTAAGGGGAGAACAGTGTATTTAACATCTAGCATGGAAATCAAACTTAAAAATAAAAACATTCATCTCAAAATACAGAAAAGGAAAATATCAGCTTGTTAAAAAGGAAGGGAGGGTGAAGGACAAGCTGGTGACAGGGCACCATGCTGAAAGATTAGAGGCCAGTTCTGCTTAGCGGTCTGTCACCGACTTACTTTGTGGAGCTGGACAAACTTTATCTACTTTTCTGCTCAGTTTCTCCACCTGTAAAGTGGAAGAAATCATGCTCTCCACCTCTGCTAAGCCTGAGAAATCAGAAGGGCTCCGCTTCCGGCTCTTTTTGTAATAAACTGGTTTCCAAAAAGTACTTAGCAAACATTCACGTACGGCAAGTCAGTGTAATCCTTCTCTAATGGAACAAGAGCTGTTAACCCAGCATGAGCCAGAGAGCTAAAATCAACAGGACTCCATGCAGGAGGAACGACAGAATGGGAATATTTAAAGGATCCACCCCAAATCAGCACAGGACTGCATCAGACTGGCCAACAGGGTCGTTACTGCAGCAGAAGCTTATAATTAAAACTGAAAAGTTAAGTTTTATAGCGCCACATCAGCACAGCTTTATGATCAAGTTGCTGGGTTTGACTGTTAACTATTCTGTACCTAAAATGAAGCAGGGACCATGCAGGATGGGAGAAGGTCACTGCCTTTTAGGGATTTATAGTTTACTGCCTCAACTTGGCAATACTTTGCACACTACTACACAAGAGCAGTGAAAATGTGTTCAGGCACTACATTTAGACATCCTGCTACTTTTTCAATCTGCTACTTTTTCAAAGCTTTACTTTTTCTTTGACTCTCTCCAGTATGACTTTTCTTTAACCTGGAACAAAATCCCTTTTCACGCCTGTGCTTATTGAGGAGTGAGGTGGGTAAGGGTGGGAGTGGGAGGAGGAAGCGTGAAGAACGCATTTATCCCCACTGAAAGAAAAAAAAGGGTGAGTTCAGAAAAAAAACAGGTCTGAAGACACAGCACGTGCAGGATCCTAGCTCAGGACAAGAGATTGTGCTTCATTTGGGGAACACAAGTACAAAGCAACAGGGATGCCGCAGCTCCAGCATGAAGAATCAGGAATGCGCTCACAGAGGCATCTGCTGCTTCCCAGCAAACCCCTGAGCTTTTGCTCAGTCACTAAATATTTGGTGAACTTTTAATGTCTCACTAAAAACAAGCTAAACAATTTTGCAGCATTCATCCTCTGCTGAACAAAACAAACACCCACTGCTGCTTTAACAGAAGGAAGAAGAAATCACAGGGCACAGAACAACACGTGTCCCATGCCTTTCTCCCCTCAAAAAATGAAAGAAGAGAAAGAAAAGTAAACCTACGTTTCCTGCAATTAGATGAGGTATGGCTCTCAAAAATTGAAAGCTGTAATTAGAGATGTTTGGAAAGAATAACAGGGAAGCACCTTCCTACCACACTGAAACACGTTTTCTAGAGAAAGATCTGGGCAGCAACTGGGTGTAAACGTTTCAGTTTTTGCTTTTTTAAAAATCTGAAGCAAAACAGGGACTGTCCCTACTAAATGCAAAGCTTTTTGTTACTTCAGGAACTTTTCTCCAAACTCAGCTACATTTAAAGTATTCTACAAACTCGTAACTTTCATTTAAAGAAACAAACACGTCTGCATTTTTTTTTTCCTTCCAAAGCTGCATCTGTTTTACACTGCTGCTTTGTTACTCCCGAGTTTAGGGAAAGTACCTCCAGCAAAAGCAGAAGCAGCAGAAATGCAACAACAGTAGAAATGCAACCAGCTCAGCTAAAGAGGGTGTGAATTGCAAACTGTGTTTGATAAGAGCTGCTGTATACTTACCTGTAATTACAGTCACTGATTTTTGAAGAGGATGTGGAATGAGATGACTATGCACCATGAAAGATTAAACAGGCAAGGTTAAGGCTGGATGTGTAAGTGCTTGATGCAAGTGACTCTTTGCATGAGCTGCATTCTGCATGCTAACAAATAAACCTTGAAAATAACAATATTACAAACTTCCACACACTCACCTGATTAATACTTGGCCTCCCTTGCTTTTTCTTCGAGGTAGTATCCAGCCCCCAAAGAGAAGAAAACCTGCTTCTCCGTTTACTGGCAGATCTGGACATGGCCTGCGTCCTTCTTCTCACTCCAGACTCCCCTGTGCGAGCCGCCACCTGTCAATGCCACATGGTTTTAAAATCAAAGGTCGCAGCATCCCACCGCACCGTGGCTTACATAATCTAACAAACAGTGGAATCTGGTTTGAAAAAAAGAGGCAAATACTATGGCAACAATGTGTACTCGCAACAGGAACAATGGTGATGCTGCCAGACTACTTCCTTCTCACTGCAATTTAATTACCTTCTTCCAACGTCAAACATCAAAAATTAAAATGGGCACTACCACCCCCTTGGTTTTTGGCATTTAATCTGAGATATTTTGAAGCAGCCTAATCACCACAGAGCAAAGCTTCAGCACCAGTGAAAGGTTTGGGGGTTTTCTTGTTTGGGTTTTTTTTTTTCTAACAAGGTTTCAAAGCCGGACACATGAAACTTGAGATTTCCAAACTTATCTGTTGCTTCTGAAAAGCCTGGTCTTTCTCTTTGCTCTTTCCTGTGGAAGCACTCCAGGCATCCTGGAACTGACTCATAACTGTTACAAGGCCAGATAAAGGCTTGCAAATAGGACAAGGTATTTAAAACCTGCACTTCCTTAAAGATAGCAACATTTGCAGGAGTGAGCAAAACACAGGAAGGAAAAAAGGAAGTTGAAATGACCCTTTGGATTAGAGCAGTGCTAAGTGCTTGGATACTTGAAAAATGGCCTGTGGCAACCCCTTCAGAGCAAAGATATTTGCCTTTACTGAGACCAGATATCTGGGGAGCATTTCCCAAACGAGGAAGCTCTGGTAGAAATCAGTGCGACATTAGTCAGAGGTGAAGATACACCTCTGAGGCCAATGTTTAAGCAGACTTCCCATGTGGAGGTGGCCTCAGGAGAGAGAGCTGCTCTCCTGCGAAAAAGGGAGTGGTAGGAGATGGCAGGTATGAACGGGAGCGCAAGGCGAAGCTAGACAGACGGACAGACCCGCCCTGCCGACTTGGCCGTATGCTTCCTGGAACACCTTTGTACTGGATTCCCACAGTCGAAACTAGCAAAATGTCATTTGGCAACCCCAGCAGGAACACCCGCACCTCTGAGTGACGCCCCAAGCTACGGAGCTGAGAAACTGGTTGTTTGGGTGCAGCAGATACAAAAACCCGTAGAAAGACGGAACGAACAGAAGGCTGGCTCGTGTACCCAGGGAACCGGCGCTGTATGAGTAACAGTGACTCTCCTTGGGAAATGTGGATAAATCAAGGCAAAGGAGAACTTAAACCCTACTGCAAGTGCCTCCATTCCCACAGCCTGGACTTGTGAGATGTTTCTTAGCTGTACCTGGGACATTTGTGCAGAGGCACCTGTACTAATGTACTGAGGAACATCTTCAGGAGAGCTAGGCATGCCACGCTATCACCATGCGGCACCCAGCTCGAGTCTGAGACTCACTGCACCATCTCCACGCTATTGAGGGCAAAGGAGGACACGAGAGTTTGCTTAAAGGAAGAGAAAGCACGTGTCTTTTCCAACACAACATATTCAAAACATTTTTTTTTTCACTTGGCTCTCGAGAGACACCAGCATGAAGAGGCAGACTGTTTTTCAGGCTAACACTCAGAGCTTTGCTAGATGCAAAAAAAATAAGCACAAATGCAAATTACAGCCCAGCACTTAAAAAAAAAAACATAAATCCACTAGCAATCATCGGGATGATGACACTACTCTTTTCATATATAAAAGAATAAAAACGCCCCTGACTGAATTACAGCTCTGGATTCAATTGAAGGGTACAGCTGACATCTACAAGACAACAGTGGAGCTCAGCTATTTCTGTGAAGCTCCAGGAGTCCAAGCTGAAACTACAGGAACTTGATCTAAATTCATTAAAAACCCACCACTTTGCAATACATTTCCCTATACTTTTAAGAACTGGGTTGTTACATTATTTAACTTTAAACAACCATTGTAAACATTATTTGCCACACTGCAAGTAGCAGAGAAGAACATTTCCCCTCCCTTGCGGAGCATCAGATGTTGATCACTGGAGACCGGATATCAGACTAATTGGTCAGTAGCTTCATCCATATGGTAGAAAGCAAGTCATGCCTGAGCAGGTCTAAGCCAACACGAGCTGAGGGCCTCAGCAAGACTCCCATTGACTTCACAGGTCTTTTGGATCAAGCCCATGTACACGGACATCAGAGATGAGCCTGTTCTTGTAAAAAGAGGCTCTGTTTATAGAAAGCAGATCTAGAAATTCAAAATCACACATTTAGGAAAAATATGGTTCTTCCACTTCCATAAGGCCGTAGCTTGCAATCATCTGCTTTTTAATCTGTATCCAGGACACACACCCCTTCCAGGAAGCAGAATATTCTGCATGCTAAGGTAAGGGCCTCACCCCCCAGGCACAGACTGCTGTTTGTGAATGTGATCTCTGCATTGCACAGGTAAAGCAATTTGCAGGTTGGCAGAGATGACCCCTGGCCTCTGTTCAAACTTACCAGAGCGTGAAACGACGAGACTGAAAAGATTCCAAGACGGCCCATCACAACTTTCGTTGGACGGCTGGCAAAAGCAAGCAGTCTCTTAGGGTTTGGGAGCTCCCCTCCTTGGAGACTAGCCAAGTAACAGCGGTATCGAAATAGGTCCATTTGGAACTGTTCAAGATTTTGTTCCCAAACGAAGATCTGTGTACAGTGAAGATTGAGACACGTGAGAAGAAAAGGGGAGAGGAGGAAGAACAGAGTGGTAAATACCTTGAGAAAATTCTACTGTTTCTGGTAATAAACCTCTTTCACAAATGCTAAGCTCATTCAAGAAACTTTGATTCCCCTTCTTTCCCACTCTCCCCTACCCTCCCAACCCCAAAAAGGACACAAATAATAAAAAAGTTTTCATTAAATGGAAAACAACTTTTTTTCGTGTTCATGGCAGAAGTCTTCTCCTGGGACAACTGCTCCTTTGATACAATGCTAATTAATAGGATTAGAATTCCTTTTTTAATTTTCCTTGTACTCCAGGATTCTCTTCCAAGCAGTCCCTTAAGAGGCTTCTCTCATGCATCGAGGGCATCTGAGAAACGAGAAAACCAAACCCCACCAAATTCCACATACAGAGGGCCCGAATCAGCAGCCAAAGCAGCAGCGTTGCTGTAAGCATCAACAGAACTCACTATACTTGAAAAAGTGTAGTACACTGGCGATAATTAATCTTATCAGCAGAAGAGCACTATAATCAGCCTATGTAAGGACTTATTTAAATAATTCAAATTGCTGATAGGAAACAGTTTCAAAGCGTTTAGAAAAACTCAGTTACATAAAGAGACTGCTCTGCCCTCTCACTGTGATAGAGAGCCTTTGAGTGGAGCCCTTTCAATGGAGGTGAGCATCTCTCCCCTCTCTCCCCCTTCTTCTCATGGGCTTCCTTCAGAGGACACAAAATCTCTTTAGCTGAGCGCATTAGGGCCCCAGTCGCTCCCGATGGTTTGCATTACAGGCACGTTTGGCAGTCGTGGTAAAAGAGCTACAAACTAATGAAAAGCCATATGTCAGTTTCCTAAAACAAGGTGCTGCTGCGGCAGCGGGAGAGACATCTGCTCGAGGCTCTCTGCTTCTCGAATGCAACTGCGTTGCCCATTTCAAGTCAGAAGAAGCGGTCCCAAGGGGCAGCCAGGGCTGCAGCCATGAGGTCAAGGCAGGCCCTCGCCACAAGGAGACACCAGGGATGGCTTCATCCCATCTGCTAGCAGAAGAACCAGCCTCTTGCACTCTTAACACAACAGCAACAGCAGCCTTTGTTGGTCTACGACCAGCTCTTCCCTAAGGCATCCTGCTGCCATGGCCTGGTAGCCTCTTCACTCCCCTAAAGCCCTCACTCAACTTCCGAGCAGCTACCCAAATCCCCTGCGTGGAGGCCAGAAGACAGCCCATGCTGTACCTTAGTGCACGCTGTTTGGAGAAAATGTGCAACTAGGGCAGCCAGCACAGCTCTCCTGCCAACACACGTCCCGCCTGCTCTGGGGAGCTCTGCCCACACACACGCACGGCACAGCGGGAGCAGACTGACGTACTGCTAATCTGAAGAAGGCCTTAAATATTTTCTAGGGGCCTATTTCACATAAGCAAGTGAGATTACTTGATCCAGTATGGTCTTTTTCTTCTTGGAGTCCGTTACTGAGGACAGCTGCATTTCACCCATTTTCTTCATCTTCTCATCCATATCAATCTTCTGCTCCAGCTTTTTTATCTCTGTTTTCAGGAGCTTGACGGTGTCCTCCTTGTGATGCTGCCTTGCCACCGCGGTTGCGCAAGCTGAATGGATTGCAGTGATCCAGTTCTCCAGTTCGGTCTGGCTAGAGGTCTGAAGAGGGGGAAAGAGGGGAAAAGAAGTCACGATCCTCTTTAAAATTGATTGAAGATTAACAAATGCAATTCCAAGGAGTTTCCTTTTCCTTTGATCTTAAGATTCAAAGCCTTAAATCCACTTACGAGAGAAGTAATAAAAACCCCATCATTCTTAAGCAGGCCATTTTAAACCCAGCACTAGGCATTGAGCACTCAGAATTACACCTATATCTGTGCTTTGCAGTCATACAGTGTTTCCCAGCAAGGTCTCAGGAATTGCCTTCCTTGTTCAATGCAACACTGCCATAATTTGTAGCTCAACATTTAATGACGTGTTCTAAACTCTCAGATCCTCAAGGCAGGGAATTCACTAGTCTCTGTGCTTTTCGCAGTATGGAGATCTTTTTTGGCATGCAACAGTTAGTAATAAATTAATGGCATAAAACGTGACAGTAATAATTAGTGGCATAAAACGTGACCATGATATCTATGAGTAGCTTTATCATGATTCATAGACAAACAAGCTTTCCACTTCTGAAGGCCCCAAAGCACTCTGAAGACAACGCTGTTATCATTAAAAGCAAGTTCATCATAATTTTTATGGCTCTGGTACTGTTCCTTCAAAAGCATGCATGTGACAGTTCAGCAAAAGGGACCACCTTCCCTTCCTGGAATTGTTCAAGGCCAGGTCGGATGGGGCTTTGAGCAACCTGCTCTAGTGGAAGGTGTCTCTGCACACAGCAGGGGGCTTGGAACTAGATGATCTTTAAGGTCCCTTTCAACCCAAACCATTCTGTGATTCTATGATTCTACGAGATATTAGGCTGGGGCATGGGACACTAGTACATTTATCTGTAAGAGCACTGATTAGAGGTTTTTGACAGAGAAAGAAGAATATTTCAAAGCGTTCCTTTTCCAGACTTTCAAAATAAAAAGTAAATCTTCCTAGCCTTCTTACTAAACTTCATTCCTTTTTACAGTAGGCTGTAAAACAAAATTTACGGCCAAGTCAGGGCTGCAGTGACTTTCTCTGAGTGTCAGCCTTTAGCAGTAATCACACCGGTATTTGGCTTGTGCCTGAAAAAGTAGTAAGGTGCCAAGCCACCTTGTTCTAATTAAACTTTCTGATGATACCTTCTCTATTAATAGACAGCACGGTATGACTTCTGCAGTTGCTAGCATACACGAAGAAGGTCACCCTCACTGCTCTCCTGGTGGTGACAACTAACAGCAAAGGACATGGCTCACTGAAGCCAAGGAGAGATTCCCACAGAAGCCTGATGCTGGAAATCAGGTATGCACAGGCTGGACTTCAGACCAATGCTCCCAAACGTCTGTGGGACTGAAGCAGGTGAAGCACACATGTCCCATAATGACATCCCTTTCCCCAGCTCAGGTTAGAAGTCCTAAGCAGAAGATACGCCAGGAAGACTGATCTCCTACTCCTAATTTTCTTGTCTTCAGTTGGCACTTTACAAAGTATATTGCTTAAATTGGAGATACTCCTTGCCTGAGTAATAACACTAATGAGTTCTCATTCACAGATGAGGCTTAAAATGTCTTACTGCCACTGCTGAAGACATGTTGAGGTCCCGTTGCTGAGGAGATTCTGCTGAAAATAGAGAAATTATCTGCAGAATGGAAGACACTGCTTACAGTCAGGTGGTAAAACCTAGCCCTTCATGGAGAAGAGAGTACCACTGGACCTATAACAAGATGGTATGTTTTGTCAATTCTTAGAAAGTAAGAGCAAGATGTCATATTTTCATCTTATTCAATTTTAAAATATTATCTATATACCATTAGATTCAGTTTTCATCTTAGCTTCCTGGGGAGAAGGAGGGGAAAAAAAATCTGGACAGGATTTTAGGAACTGAAGACTCTTCTGGTAGATGAGTAGGCAAGGGGAAATCACTCTGCTTCTCAACGGAAAGGACCACATAAACAAGCTGTAAAACATCTGATACATCAGTATGTGGTGCCACAAGTTGCTCTGAGCTCCTGGAAAATGCATGTGACATCTGCAAGTAATGGATTTGTGTAGGCACGACAAGAACTGACTGAGCAAGGAATCATTGTGTAGGAGGTATGTGATGTCTCTAGGTGCAATGCAGTGGGAAGGCTTGTTACAAGATGTCCAATATCCGTACGCATTACAAAGCAAGCCTATTTTTCTCCCTAAGTACACAGTCTCCATAGGACGGAAATAGTCTTCTCCAGGTCTGTGGTTTCTTCTCACCAAAACCGCTACTACGGCACTGTGTTATGTGTGGATGGACATGTATGACAAGAGCAGTTGAGTAACACTGCTGAACAGCCTTATACGTGCTTCGGCTGCTCTGTGCACAGCACAGCAAGCCCTACAGCACAGTCACTCATACGTTACTTCCACCACTGCGGCTGGTCTTCTTCCCTTCTCCCCAAACCCACCCCTTCTTTCTCTTCTGCTTCTGCTTCACTAGCAATGCATGGGTTCTATGGCAGAAGAGACATATCAAGGAAAAAAATTCTGCAAGGCAATACAAATTACTGTTTTTCATTTGAAAAGGCTCATTTTTGCATTTTCCCACAAAGTTACATTAAAATCTACCCATGGCATAATGACACAAGGCTTTTAATGAATAAGGCCCTGTGTTGCTGCAAAAGAAATGTACTGAATGTGACCTTTTCAGTATTTATCATCCACTGGCATTAATTTTATGAGAATGAAGGTTTTTCCTTAGAAAACTGTACAGAAAAGATTTTACAGCTTGTATTAGTAAACCAGGAGGAGGTGGTGCTCCAAGGCCTTTCAAGCACACACTGAGACCATAAGCACCGCATTTACCTCCTGGATAAAGCTCTCCAGGTGGCAAAATACACGTACCCTGCCCAAGAGAGGCATGAAGTAGAAAGGGGCAGTGCAGTATTACACTATGAGCTGAGGAAAAATCAGACTGAGGTGGCAGAGAAGCGAGTCCACAAAAAAAAAATTTTTTTCAGTATGCAATCAGATACTCGGTCTCTTCAAGATGTAAGCCAGCACCGCTTCTTCTCAGTCATAGAATCATAGAATCATGGAACACCATGGGACACCTTCCACTTCATCAGGTTACTCAAAGCCCCATCCAACCCGGCCTTGGACACTTCCAGGGATGGGGCACCCACAACTTCTCTGGGCAACCTGTTCCAGCACCTCATCACCCTCAGAGTGAAGAATTTTTTCCTTAGATCTAATCGAAATCTACCCTCTTTCAGTTTAAAGCCTTTGCCCCCTGTCGTATCATTACACGCCCTTGTACAGGCGAGTAGTCAGTAAGGCTTTTTGATTTTGCACTAGTTTGAGAATCTGGCCTCTTGTTTAGAACAGCTGCAAGGACCTGCAAGACACTGTAATTTTAAAGATCTGCTCTAGAGTACAGGGGAGTGATGACACGGAGGCACATTCTACCACAGAGAAGCTTCTGGTTCAAGAAGGCAAGAAACTCTCAATACATTGTCATTGGAAAGGGAAATAAATAAGGGATTCCTCTGGTGAAGAAAACTGAATCAAAAGAGGAGGAAATGGCACCACCTCAGCACAGGCTGGCAATTACAAATAAAAGAGTGTCCCACCTTGACCAGTGACAACTTGCAATAGGAAAGTGCAATGCCAATCTGAAAATCACTCAGGGAAGCAGTAGTTACCAAAATACAGAAATTTTTTGAGTGAAAAACATCAACTGATGTATGGTCTTTAAGTACTGGATTCTTTTAAATGTACACTGTGAAATTCAGATATTTCTATTTTCTGATTAAAAAACCTAAACATGCATTTTCAGTGTCCTCTTGGGCAACAGCAAGATGCTGACTAAGATCTGCATGAACAAGGTGCAACTGGATTCTGAAGCACCATTGGGTGAGCACCTGCAGGTCCAAGTACTCCCTTGCACTTCAAACTCCTCTTGGTCTTGTAAACCCCCCCCAAGCCTCTCTGCAAGGTCCCATCTTTGATACATGTCTCTTATGAGATGCAGATAGTGTTACAGCACATTTAACGCACCACTGCATGATCTATATGGTAACTGGACTGGTCTGTGTGTTATAAGCACGCTGTCAAACCATGCAGAATTCCCAGTTTTTACAGGGATGTAAGAATCTTTCTTAATCCTTACTTTGTTCCAACCATCTACACAAAGAGGGTCCAGTCAGCCAATAAAAAACACAGATGTGACAGTGATTCACATGCAGTGGTGGGTCTCTTGAGTGACATTTACCGAATACATTGTGTCCTTCCTCTAGTGGTGCCAGAGGAAAATCCAAACCTACTGGAGTCAGCAGGATTTTTCCATCTATTTGAGTCAGAGCTAAAATTTCCTCCTTGGTCAGTGGCATGAAGGAGAGAGAGAAAAAGAGAACTTTGTAAAACCCTCGAACCAGACCAACCTGAAAGAGGAAAGCGTCCCCAAGGGAGTTGCTGAGACAGAAGACAAAATCCTTCTTGGGATGCTCAGGCACCGCTTGCACTATGCTGTTTTCCACCCAGACAGCATGCTTTGGGATGCTGTTGTGGTCAATGCCAGATCTGCCATCAGTCTCATAAAAAAACAACGTGCATCCTAAAAGACACAACCATATATCAGCAAGAAAAACATTTAAACGCAACAGCCGCCTTGGATCTATTCAGTGGTAATACTCGGGACTACAAACTATCCATAAAACTGCCACAGGGATGAGGAAGAATTTGCAGGACCTGTTCAGGTTTTCAGCCCCACAGCGGAAAGCACCAGCAACAGCCCAGTTTTCAGTCTGAGAAGGTGCTGGTGTCCACGCCATGGGGGTGCACCACGAGCTGTATGGTATATAGAGCCGTACAGCCGAGGGGAGCGAAAGGAACACGTAGGTGTGAGAGCGTGTTCCCTGTGGCAGTGCCGGACAGCTGGGAGCCGGCCCCTCCGAGGACACAGCCCCCCAGCAAATCTCCATGGCCCTGCCTCGGCCCCCCGCAGCTGCTGGCTGCTGCAGTCCCTGCCAGGCAGAGATCAAGCGGTTTAATTACTGGATGCAGATGAGAAACTGGAAGAAAAACGGACAGGAAGGAGCTGTGCTTCCTAAAAGACTGACATACAAAAAAAAAATTAACCAAAAAAAAAAAACCAAAAAACAAAAACCCAAACCGAAAAGCATAAACCAAGTCCTTATTCCGCTATAAAGTTTCAGCTCTGATTCACTGGGCCGTATGGCCAAAACCAAAAACGCATTTTAGCCGGCAACAGCAAACAACCTGCTTGGTTTTAGAAAACAACCTTGACAATTCTTGAGGTGTGGGGGAGCAGGGGAAGGTATAGCAAGGCTGCAATTCGGGAGATCCCCAAATAAAAGGGTCTCCTCCTCTCCCTCCCACCTTCTCACATCATTATCTACAGTTGTTTTAAAGTAAAACTGGCACATTGTTTCTCTGCCACTGGAAACAGCCCTCTGGGTGCAAAGGGATGCCCTGTTACCCAGCCTCGAAGAAAACTATTTGCAGCCAAACAATAGCAGCTGTTAACTTCAAAGCCTCATTTACACCCTAACGTTATTAAGGCACAGCAAAGTGAGGGGCAAACACTCCATCTGAGTCAAAGCACTTCAAAATAACATTGCCTCCGCACTCATCCTTCCCCTTTTTCCTCCCAGATGGCCCTTTGTTTGCCTGCTCCTCACAGCAAGACCTTCCTGCCACAGGGCCCCCTCCCAGGAGATTAGGGCTCCCCCCTGCCCCCTAGCCCTCCCTCTCTCCTCTTTCATGTCCCCAGTCTCTCTAACCACTCCCAAGAAGACTTGGCACCTAACTGCCGTTGGTTTTGAAACAGTACCGCAAATTAAAAAAAAATAGTGCTCTAAAAAAAGCACTCTGTGGGGAGGACAGGGCTTTAACTATACGGAGCTTTTTGGTGATCTCACCTAGAGCAGGAGACATGGCTCTGGCTCCCCCGGCTCATGGAGGAGGCTGGTCGCTGCGGAAGAGAGCAAGGCCAGTCCCGAAACTCTGCAAGCATTGCTTCCCGTTTTGTGCTGATGTAACCGCACGAAGATCAATTAGAGGTCGCTTTAGGAGGCCAGCTCCTGAGTCTCCCCGCTCCATTAACATTTATGTGCATTTATAAGCACTCAGATCCCGAACGGGGCTGGAGCACTCTCCTAGCAGGAACTGCAAAACTTCAGAGAGAAGAGGGTGTGTGGAGTGGGCAGCCAAAGGGGCCAGCAGGGCGGCCAGGTGCCGAGGGCTGCCCACCACAAGACGGGTGACACAGCCAGAGCCAACGTCTCCCAGGTCACGAGCCAACCTCGATGACCAAACCATGGCTTCCTGTCAACACTGCAAATGTGCTGCAACTCGCTGGGTGTGAAGCAAACCTCGGAGAAGGAGAGGTCAACGGCACTGAGCACAAGAGAAACACACACAAAGAGGGGCCTGTTGGAACACGTGCCGGCAGGCGGTCCCACTGTCACGTGCCTGCAGCTCCACACAGGTGTTTAGTTTGTCAGCAAGCCACAGAAGTGCTTTTCAAAAGAAACACCCAATGCTCAGAGAAGCCACCTCAGGTGGTGCCAGCAGGACTTGAAGCAGGGTATGAACCCCACTTCAGTGCAGGACAGTCACGTGTCTTGGACTACACACTTGCCATAATGTGAGCACATCAACAACCATCACACAAAACCCCCCTCTGAAAAACATCAGGACCACTTCCTCATACTTGATGTTAATTATACAGAAGTTCACAGGAGCTTTTGTTATGAGTCTAAGCTACAGGTTTCTTCATCTGCAGCAATACACAACCCAGAGGACACTGCAGCCGCCCACCTGGATAAACCCTTGCACGCTTGCTCTGTACCTTTCAGGGAAACCCAGTAGTGCTTCCATTTCCTGCGTGTGGCCGACTCCACTTTCTTGTTCTTTTTGTGCACCAGGAAGTTTTTCACTGCCAGAGCGCCAGCTTTCCGTACCGTGCCCTGAGCAGCCGTCAGAAGGATGTCGGACTGCCCCGGGGAGCTGAGGGTGCCACTGCTCTGCTCATCGCTGAGGGCAGAGCCGGCCTCCTCCAGGTTCTCGCTGTTGGTGGTGCTCATCTCCAGCTCCCGGCGGAAGTTCTCGTACACCCCCTGACGAAGTCCATCGCCTGTCGAGCTGCTCCCGCTGTCGCTGCCGATGAAAGCCCGACTGGCCGGCGGGGGGGAACCTGGGAGCGTCTAGAAAGGAGATCGGTGTCGGTGGCTGCTCCCTCGATCCCACTGTCGGTGAACTCGCTCCCTTCGCCTGCATTGACATCCTAGTTGCAAGAGAGACACAGTGTGAGATGAAGAGCCTGGCCAAGCCTGGCCTTCTGGAGACACCGACAGAACCTGAAATGTCCAGGGGGCACCACATTTCTTCACATCCCCATTTTGTCTGGCTCTGGAAATCCCTCATTTCTTTTTCTTCTGAAGATAAACAACTGGAAGAAAAGGTGGAGTAGGCAGAACTTCCAGCACAATTTAGGAAAGACCAGTCACACACGCATGATTTCAGGTGGTGCCTCTACAAAACGCCTTAGCATTTTGGAATGCAAGATGCAGCAGCATCATCTGTTTACATTAAGCTAAGTTAACAGTGCTAAAGGTTTTGCAGAAGGAGAACATATGGTAGCAAAAACTGGCAGTGTCAAGAAAAGCAGCAATCAACCTACGCATTTTGAAAAGAAAACATTGATATCGTACATTCACACCTACAGTTGAAGATGCATTTTAGACATCCCAAGACTGTCATTTGTGAATTATATAACCAAAAAGGTACTTTTTTTTCTCCTAAGAAGTTAATGTATTTGAAATTATTTCTGTTTTGCATCACTTCTACATTGCAAACCCTAACCATGGGCCAGAATCCCCTGGTGATAGACTCTGACAAAATACTGCAACAACAGAAGACCCTTCCTGGTGTCCAGGAACTTGCAACTGAAGGATCAGAAGAGACCAGAACACGGCTGGCTTGAGCGAGACAGGAAACAACACGACCAAATTCAGGTTTTGAAGGCTTAGTGGCTCAGCTTGCCCCCTGCAACAAGGCTAGTGCCCAAAGGGGACTAACCACTATCATCTCAGCACTCAAAGGCATCGGTGGCCGTCCTTGAAGCAGGACAAAGGCCAAGCCCTGTAAGTGGAAACAAATATGTTAGATACTCGGGAGACAAGGAAGAAGAGGTGAGAAATATGGCCAAAACAACAGGAACTTCAGCCTCTCTCTCTCCTGGAAGAGCAGCTGGTGCTTGATTAACAAGTTTTTTAAAAAAATGAGGAGACTCTGAGGAGAGGTGGCACAATGCAGTATTTATTTGGAGAGAAAACAAGCTGCTAGGTGTTGGTTCAAGCACCAGTTTTCTATGCATCCAAGAGCAGCTCTGCAGAAACCGAGAAACCCTCCACCGAGCTCTGTTTGAAACCTTCCTCCTGTGGAGCAAGAGCTGGATGAGGAAACCTTAGGGGGAGGGGAGGGATGTTGCTGAATTTGACTAACTTTTAAGGCATTAATTTGTAACGGATGGGCTTGTTCCTTATAAACGCTACCTCTCAAGGGAGACTTGGAGTCCAGCTGGAAGACTAAGCACTTCCTTCGCTGCTCAATGAGCACAGTTATCCTAGTCAGGCTGATTATTTAATGCAACACAGTGATAGACGAGCTGCTCTGGACAGGCCCATATTCCTCTATTCCCACTGCACACGAATGAGCTGAGCAGGGCTTCCTGTAAGTGCAGTCATCTACAGAGCAGTCTTCTCAACCACACGTATTTTCCTGCTGTTCCAATACACTTGTTTTTTGGAAGCCAATTATCTTCCCATTTCTTGCAGCACTGCAAAGGAGAAGGGAACTGGTGCTGCTGCTCAGAAACCAGCGCTCACAAAACGCTGCTGCAAGTGAGTTTTTGCACTCCATCACAAAACGCTGGATGGTGCAACTTCTGATGACAGCACTCCATCTGAGACCCCATCTATCAGGGAGCCAGGACTGGCACAGCCGCTCCATGCTCACACACCCGAGGCACTGTCTCTCTGCCAACACGACTACAACAGCATAAAATCAGAGAGCCAAAGAACAGAATCGGACCCCCCATGTTCATTGGGATAGTTATTCCTATAGGATGACTGGGGTTTGCATGTGTTTTCTGAGGCCTTCTTCCTCCATAATTTTTTTAACAGGAAAATCTGTGTCACTCGTATAACATAAACAAATCTGCATTCTGCAGTGAACATTACATAATGGTGGCAACAGAAATTATTTGAGGTTTTTAGATTTTAATTTTAGGTTAATGATTTAATAAATATACAATCTGTCTCGTAATTATTTTATCCATGCAATACAAAAAGTATAGAGTCAATTCCAAAATATTAGCTGATGTAACTTTTAGGAAACGTATCTCATGCTTTAACTAGAATTAGTTGGTTTAAAAAAATAAATTGCTACCAAAACAGACCACCAACTTGAGGGAGGCAGGATTTGTAATTTTGCTAGCCAGTGCATGCGCAAAGCTTTCTTGGTGCTTTTTAGCAGATGGAGTATTTTTCCAGAAACAGAAGTGGACCCAGAGATGTTCAAGCACAGGGCTGCAATGCAGGCTCTCAAAGTTCCTCACGCCCAGTGTGACACAGCCTTCTCTTGTGTAACCTTGATGAGACACAGTATTAATTGACTCAGTTTCCCCATCCATAAACAGGGACTATACTCCATAACTGATACACAGGCATAATGGTTTACTATTTATAAAAAAATAAAAGGATGGAAAACTCAGAGTGAATGTTACATACACTCATGAGCTTAAATTGTAGCACATTTTGCAAACATCTTTATAATCTTTACCACAATGCAAGTGATAGGCTGGATGAGTCAAAAGATCTTTTCAGCATAATACTGCATCCCTGCCCCTAATCTCCCTCTGCTCCCTGCACTCCCTTTTCCTCTCTTCAGTATCCTGTATCAAAGACTTCTTGCCAACCGATGCAAGCCCTTTGGTAGGAGGAGGGTCTGAGCATACAAAGGTCAGAACGGTTCAAAACCTACAGCCTGTGAATATTGTTCACGCTCATGAATTATGAAACGTAGCATTGAGCGAGCTTAGCACTTTCGGAAGTCTGCTGTATGAGAAGATCGGTCTCGGGGTTAGCAGGGTGAAGAGCATTCACTGCACAGGTCTCTGACTTCTGAGCTCCCGCTGCAATGTCAGCTCGTTCTCATCGGAGGGTATGAAAAGCTCTCAAGAAGCAACCGGCATCTGCTCTGGCCGTCTCACAGTGCTATAATCCACACACTGAAGGGCATTCAATTAAGAGTTCAGTAGAAAGTGCAGAGGTTCGGTACTGTGCTTCCGCAGAAACATGCCAAGGCCGAAGGGGTAATGCTCCCAAGCCACAGAAGAAACTGCAGCAGAGCTCGATAAGCATATCACTAGGGGCACAGAAACACCCCCACAAACTTTCAAATCAGGATGACGAAAACGAAGCGTCCCAACTCACACCGTGAGCAGCACGGCTCCACGCTGACAAGATCAATGTGGATACATGGGCCCCTAGCTTTGGAGTCCAGCCCTCGAAGTACCTACTGACCATGGCCACCACAGGCTACAGTCCAATGTGAAGCAAACGTTGTGTAACCTTGATGAGAGCTACTTAAAAATCACTCACGTTTTCTGTTCAGGTTCTCAAAGAGGCCCGCAGGCAACAGCAACGTCTCTCTCCTCTGAGGAAGACTTAATACCATCCCAAGTCCGTGACAGGATGCGCCAAGGAGGCTTGCTAACGAAACAGGCATTTCACTCCTCAGCAGAACGGCAAAGACTCTTGAGGCTGAGTGTGAACTACAGACACAGCTCAGCCTTCACTACTCACCCCTCTGAATTCTGCCCAGCATGGCTATGGGTCTCCACCAGGACTATGTGCGAGGAAAATCATGGGAGTTTGGAGACAGCTGAAGACTGCAGAATGCCTGTTTCTGAAGCCCACGGTTTTGGACATTATACACACATTATAACAAATCACCAGGACATTACTCCAGACTTGCAACTGCTGTCATCAAGGGGCTCTGTTCTATTTCACTGGTTAAACACCCCAAAAGTTTCATTCAGCTGTGTATAGGACTCAGGACACTGCATCTGATATTTTGCACCTCACCAGAGATCTTGTGTTTTGTATTTTCAGGCTGGCAAACAGCTGTCTCCACACAGAGGAATATTTTTGCCCGGTAAGACCATCCCAGGAACCAAACGCAAGACTGGAACTAAATCCGTGCTGCCCGACTTAGCCTTCCCACTGGTGTTTACCTAGCTTCAGGCCTGGGAGGACAAGAGGGCAAAGCAAGAGGGAGGTGGAAATCATTACATTGGTCACACCAAGTAGCAAGCATGTAGCAAAGAAAAGAAAGCATATTTCCTCCAAGACAGAGAGATGGGGGAAGCCGTGGGAATAGCAGTGCTTGGCATTTTGCAAACACAAGTCTTAGTCCACAGAGACAATAAACTGAATAAAGAGGAGGTTTATCCCTTTGATTCAAGACTGCTCGGTGGAAAGCTGGGCGAAAGTCGCATAAAGACCACCGGCTGAAGAAGGGAACTAAACAGGCTCTAGGCAATTGTGCTTCACTGTGTGCCTTGACAGGGAGGCAGTAAGTAGTAGCAGAGCTTCCACTGGGATCTGGGATCTCTGCCGCTGCTGACGATGACGGAG